CATTGAATTGTCGTCAGATTTGTGACAGGATATTTAAATGAGTGCAACCAGTTTTAAGATTACTTAAAATACCTATTAACAAGATTAACATCAGCCCAACAAGGACATTGACATCTTTTAGATCTAAATCATATTCATTTCTAAAAGAACAATAGTGACATTATTAATCTAAATGAAAACACAGTAACATTTCGGAAAGCAAATGCCTGCTCAGATGAAGAACTCATCCATGGTAAGCACTGCTTCAGCGCATACAGCACCCAGTCCTGGCTCTCGAAACCAGATTCATAGAAATGTAGCCTTCCAGAATATTATCTGGGCTCTAAAACACAAATTGTACTCTTTATCTTCAGATTAATTTTTAACTGTCAGGAAATTTCAGAATCTCAGGCCATTTGTTTGGTATTGTTTTACCAATGAGAAGTTAAATTACAAAGTGTCACAAGCCTTCACAAAGAATTCTACAAACAGCAAACTTAGGTTTGTGCAGGCAGTTAGTTCTAAGGTCATTTTCGTTGATACTATGACATCAGAACTTTTGCCAAGGATGTACTAGCTTTTTGGGAACATGTTAGAATATTTAAAATGTGATCAATGGGCAAGTAAACCTGGCCCTGATGTGGATTAATTGGTGCAAAGCCTAAAAAAAAAGTAGAAAATAAAACAGTAGAGTCTACAGCAATGCATTGTAAAAACAAGAACTTTAAACAAATGAGACTACCCCAAGGTAATCTACTCAAGATTTGAACAGATTAACAGTATGGTCAAGGTCCTGGGATCATTTCACAGGCCATGAGAATTTAAGTGGCACATGGCCCAAAGAATGTTAAATCAAATCCTCAATTTTCAGTATTCAACTTATTGTGTTATGTAAGTTATGTAAGTAATGATGTCTTGCATATGCAAAACAGAAAGGACAAAGTACATACGATTGGAAATATAGATAGGGCAATAAGGTCACATTTATTGCTGTAGATGATCTGTGTTCTGTGCAATTCATAAAACCTACAGTGGAGGCAAGGAAAATCTGAAGTATAAAATTTGGCAATCATTGAAAATAGCTGGATGAGAAAAATGAAAATTTGTGTTTTACAACAGAAGTGTAAAAGCTATATCCTGATGCAAGTTAGAAGTGATAACCTTAGCGTTATACACTTGGTATGTAGAAGTGGGTATCAAGCCAATAGCAATGTAGTACATTGAACTCCTAGAATATCTACGCAAATAACAATGCAAAAAATAAAGTTGTTTGTGTAGTATGGCAAATTACACAAGGACACCCAAAGGTACTCAAAGGTAAATTGCATGTGAAGCAGAGTTATTAATTACATAAATAGTTAGAAGCAATGACTATAAAATGTGATAACAAATATTACTACATTCATGTCTTGTTGTATGCTGAACTTTGGATAAAGCTGTGAAGCCAATTAAAAAATGTCAATAGTTAACCTAAGAATGACAGTCATACACAACGAGAACCAAAAGACAGAATGTAAAACACCTTAGAAACAGGCCCTTTAGCCCATCATGCCTGTGCCAACCATGATGCCATTCTAAACTAATTCCATCTGCCTGCACATTCTCTGCATCCCTCTATTCCCTTCTTCAAATCGCTCAAATATTACTATTGCATATGCTCCTACCATCTCCCCTGCCAGCACATCCCAGGCACCTATCAACCTGTGTGTCAAAAACACTTCCCTTGCACATCTCCTTTAAACTTTTCCCCCCTCTTACCTTAAACCTATGCCCCCTAGTATTTGACATTTCCACCCTGTGACAAAGGCTATGACTATCCATGCCTCTCAACTTTATTTACTTCTATCAGATTGCCTGAGCCACTGACACTTTCGTGAAAACAATCTAACTTCGTTCTTTTAGCTAATACGCTCCAATTCACACAACATCCTGGTAAACCTCTTTTGCACTCTCTCCAAAGCCTCCACACTTCCTATGTGCGATCAGGGCTCCACACAATATGCCAAATGTAGCCTAACTAAAGTTTTATTCGGCTGCAACAACTCACCAGCTTCTATACTCAATGTCCCAACCGATGAAGGTAAGCATTCCCTATGCCTTCTTTGAGACTTTATCCACTTGTGTGGTCACCGAGAGCTATGGACTTGCACCCCAAATTCTGTTTATCAATGCTCTCAAGGCTGCTGCCATTTACTGTATACTTTCCTATTTGACCAAGATGTATCACCTCACACTTGCCCAGATTAAACTCCATCTGCCATTTCTCTGTCCAACTTTCCAACTGATCTATATCCTGCTGTATCTTTTGACAACCTCGCTCATTATCTACAGCTTTGCCAATTTTCCTAACATCTGCAAATTTAACCAGACCATCTACATTTTTCATCCAAATCATTTGTGTACATTATAAACAAGAGGTCCCAGCACTGATCCTTATGGAAAAGCACTGGTTACAGATCTCCAGTCATCAAAAACGCACCTCCAATTACCATGTCTTCTATGACCAAGCCAATTTTACATCCAACTTACCACCTCATCATGGATCCATTTGACTTGAGCTTCTGGAACCTGTACCAATGAGGAACCTTATCAAATGCTTTGAATCCCTACCCTCAATCATCTTTATCACTTCCTCAAAAAAAAACTCAAATTTGAGACAAGACATACTTTGCACAAAACCATGCTATCCGTAATAAGTGCATTCTTTTCCAAATGTGAAAAAATCCAGTCCTCAAATATCTTCTCCAATAACTTCCCTACCTCTGATGTAAGACTCACCCCCGTATAGTTTCCTGGATTATCCTTGTTATCCTTCTTAAAATGAACAACATTCGCTATTTTCCAGTCTCTTGAAAGCTGCACATAGAGGCTAGAAAGATTTCTGTCAAGACCCCAGCAATCTCCTCCCTTGTCTCCTCAGCATCCTGGGATAGATTAATAATTAAACTCCCAGCCAATTAACTAAAAAAAAGTCTAAAAACAATTGTGCATTTACGTAAGCCCCTCTAAAGTGAAAAAGCATTTCATGGGGACTCAGAAATTCATAATGAGTCAAAAATTCAGATGTTGATACAATGAGGTGACAGTGGAAAGGTACACACAAATTAAGTTTTACTAAGGCCTTAAAAGAAGCGAGGGGTAGAAAGAATTAGGACAGCTTTTAGAACTTTGGGGCTTGGTGGCAGAAATCAAGTCAGCTAATGAGGAATGAAAGGCGAAGGGTTCAAAATCAATAACTGTAAATTTCAAGTGGTGAAGGTTTAGGGATGGCATTAGATGAATATTTTTAAATAAACCAGAGGGGATGGGAAATTAATGCTGATCAGAGAGGACAAGGGTTATGGATAAGCAGACTTTGTGTCGCTTAGATTACATATAACTTTTGATGACCTGACACAGAGTAGAAGATTGGCAGGGTACGCTGTGGAACCTTGGTACAGTCAAATCTGGAATAAACAATAGCAAAACTACCAATTCTGTGGCAAAGCCCAAAGTCAAAGATGTTGGTCTTTCTGACACTTCACTGAATAAAATTGCAATTCGTTAAAGGTTAAATATTGGAAACACAGCTTGATAGTATTAGGACAGGAGCTGAATCCAAAGAAAATCAGATGGGTCTCAAAATAGAAAGGGATATGGTTGTGACACTCATTTGACTGGTTGGACTCGAACTCAAGCCTCCTGGCCCAAAGTTAGGGACATTATCACTGCACAACAAGCTTCCTTACCCAGTTGTCTGTGGAACATGTTGAAAGAAGTCACCACACAATTGAAGTGGAACAGACCAAGAACAAGGGTTTCTAGAAATGATTGGGCAGAGGCTGAAAAAGAAACCTTTCAGCACATATTCTGACCAAGGTTAGGTAGTTAAAAAGTGCAGCCATCACAACAGTATCTCTGATACACAAGACAGGCATGTGTTATATGATGCTATGACTGACAACTAAGTTTGTAGACGACTAGAGTAGATCAGGTGGGATGCCAAACCACTATCAGTCAGAAGTAATTTGTGATTTTGAGTAGAACATTCCTCTGACATGTCACAGGAGTGCAAATCTGATGAGAACTTAGTTTAAAAAGAAACATGGATATAGATGCAGGAAAACATTCAAGGACTCTGGAGGTGGAAACAAGATTCAAGATAAAGACAAGACAGTCAAAGATGGCTGATGGGCAAGGAGGAAACCAACAGAAACAGCTGAATGGATGATTTCGATCTTGGAGTAGTTATCATTTTTGGCAGAGGACACAGCAGCCAAAACAATATGGTCAGGCATATCTGGCAATGGGTGGCTAAACCATTGGTTTATGTCAGCAGGATCAACCATTAGAATAAAAGGTAAAGGTTTTAATTGGGACAAGGTGTCTCTGAAGATGATATCAGAATGGTTAAGCAATGGACAGCTGAAAAAGATGTGAATTTGAAAGTCAAGTCATGATTTGGGGGAACAGGTTACTGTACTGATAGAGACACAGAAGAATTAAGTTATAAGATACAAGGAGGAAGTGGGTAGTAAAGCTTAAAGCAATGCAAATTGTTTTCGTCGTTACTCTTTAGACTGCTGTTAAAATCAGTGAGAAGAGTGAGGCAGCCACCTTAATGGCACAAGAGTAACTGCAGATATTCAAGTGATTTTGTAACTGAACTAAAAGGACTCAATACCTTTCCTTTAGTTTTAACCAGAGCAGAACACACATTTTGAATGGTTTATTTTCAATTAAATGCTGGGATCACACAGTTAAAATCAACCCACTGCCAGACTGCAATCCAAAACAAAAAGGAAAATCAGACTTGTTCAATGTTACAATCTTGAAAGATCAAAACTTGTCACTTGGACCAACAGCACAAGGAGAGTTTTGAAACCAATGTATGAACTGGGTGATCTTGCAGACTTAATTAACAGTTCCACCTCATATCAGTTAGAAGATGATGTCAATACTTTTCTGTTGCTTGCCTTGTACTCTACAAGCAGATCCCGAGAAGGAAAATATCTTGCCACATTAGAAGTAAACACTACAAATTTTTACATTGCAATATGTTCTTTATTTTCCAGTTTTGGATGTGAAAAGAGGCATTAATTTTTAATTAAATACTTAATAAAGCAAAAAGTATTTACACATTCATTTTAAACTGTAATCAATGAAGGATTCATTCTTGTTGATAATTACAAGCACCTTATGAACTCAGGAATTCTATAAATACAGGAGACACTGCTGCACTTTATCAAAGACAGCAGAAATAACATGGCATTACATTAGCAATATTGCGGAACATTTATTTACAGAACTGTCCTAAAACTGTTCTACATTAAGTAGAATCACCTAGGAACTGTACTGTTTTATGTTGTCTAATTAAACTGTTAAACTCTTACTGATTTTTAAAATCCACTACAGGCTTGTTCAAGGCTTTTTATACAACTCATAGGCATAAGAACAGAGGGGTTAGGGGCTGAGTGCCCCTCCCCTCAAAATAAATCTAGCTTAGGGAAGCCAAGTTGATATATCCTGGAATCCCTAAATTTGTTTGCATCGTTGGTAATTTAACACCAACAAGGTAGCCACCATTCTTTATTAAAAATCAAAAATCCCCACCACTTTCCTATGCCCATGACAACCACCTAATTTTAAGGACCATCTCAACAGCCCTAATTTTTTTTTCTAAATAGTTATATTTGTTAGACATGAACTGATGTTAAAAAATAGATAAAACCTTGAAGTACCAAGGGTTTATTGAATAGACGTTCTCAGAACCAAGCACTTGATTGTGCAAAAACTCAAAGGACAGTTCTCATCTGCCTGATGCGTTCACTATGTGATTGACTTCGGTCAATCATGATTTCTAATTGCCTTCTGATTCTTCTTCAGCTTCTCTTAACCAAGTGAAGAAAGCTGTCACAGATTTCAAAGCTACTCCTTTTCCTTGTTGCTCAGCTGGGTCTTTACTTGACTCCCATTTGTAAAAGGCTTCTTCAGATATAACATCCTCATCATACAAAACATCGAAAAATGTCCTTAATAAGTCTGAAAAGAACATACAAAATAAATGAGTTAACAAAGCAGGGTTTCTAAATTGCACAAATGTTTAAGAGCTCTTACACCCAGTATCCAAAGAAACTGCAGCAAAATTGCAACATATTCAGCTTACCAGGATTTTTGAGAAAAGTTACTGCGGGTTTTCCAAATGAGTGTAAAGTACCAAAACATGATTGCACACGTGCACCATATTTTCACCATCACTCAATTCAGCTTCAGGTACTAGACACCAATTATATCTACATTACTGATACAATTAGCAAAGAAAAATGCCCTTTGTTTCTCTCTGAAAAAATGTGGGAAGACCGAAACACCAAAAAGGACAAGGATCTATGAAAGAAACATCTTCAAGAGACAAACAAGTTCAGAGAGTCAGACTGGAGCAGAACATATTCCTATGGAAAAACCCTCCACAAACAGAATCTATAATTTGGAAAAATGTTTGGAAAAATGTTTGGAAAAATGTTTGGAAAAATGTTTGGAAAAATGTTTGGAAAAATGTTTGGAAAAAATGTTTGGAAAAAATGTTTGGGAAAAATGTTTGGAACGTCTTATGCTCATGATATTTGCATCTTCAGCTTTATGTTCTATCCTTTAAAGTGACTCTTCTCTCATATTAGTTTAAAGAATTGGGGCGGCACAGCTTGGCTCAGTGGTTAGCACTGCTGCCTCAGTGCCAGAGACCCAGGTTCGATTACAGTCTCATGTGACCATCTGTGTGGCGGTCGCACATTCTCCCCATGTCTGGTAGGCTTCCTCTGGCTGGTCCGGTTTCCTCCTACAACCCAAAGATGTTCAAGTTAGATGGATGAGCCATGCTGAATTGCCTAGTGTCCAGGGATGCACAGGCTAGGTGGATTAGCCATGGGAAATGTAGGATTACAGGGATAGGTGTCTCTGGGTGGGATGCTCTTTAGAGGGTCAGTGTGGACCTGATGGGCCAAATGGCTTGCTTCCACACTGTAGGGATTCTTCGATTCTAAATACACAAGGAGAACCATCAATTGTGTTAGAAAACATTTGGTGCATGTGGTTTTTGAGGGGTTGAGGGAGGGTGACGTGTAGCATTGAGGAATAAATCTGAGCTCGGTCTATAGGCAGCAGCCACTCAGTTGCAACTTGCAATATTAATCATTACTACTACTGCCTGAAACAGTTATTCCAAATAACTAAAGTCCAGGCACAACTTGAAAACACAAGGATGGTATTAGAATTCAATGTCTGTGTAATATTGGTGGCATAATGAGCTGAAACTCTCAAAAATCTTACTGTGAGCTTTCAAAAGTGATCAGTTGTATACCTACAAAGATGGAAGGACACCTATAAGGGCTCAACACATTGTCTCTCCCTTCTGAGCAAGATGCCTATAAAACTTCACTGATGGAACTCTGTAAAGTGGTTTTATCTCCATCTCATGGTGCAGATCGAAGGTCAAATTGTATGCAATACTTACTTGGTGGCTGCTCTAATTTGGCCATTAAGGCCTGAAGGGCATAGAGTGCTTGCAGTTCACGCTGGGGATCAGAATCCAGGTATTTAGTTAGGACCTTTACTCTGTTTTGGATGACTTCTGTATCCACACGAATTGGGTTTTCAACTAAAATAGGCAGGGAAAGGATTGGAACATATTGAAGGCAAGTAAGTTAAAATATTAACACAAGTATCAGTAGATATCCTCCAAAAGTATGTTTCTTTAAAAATCAAAAAATGCACTTACACACAACAGCAGAGTGGCAAACAGATTTCATTAATGCTCTAATGAACACTGAAGAAACAATTTGCTTTTCGTCAATGTTGGCCTGCAACAGAAAACAATTCAATATGGCAACCGTAACTCCTACATTTGCCTCTGTTCTGTTAAGTCTCACCACAATATCAGTCATAACTAACTTGAAGCACTCAAGAGTTAGAAGTTTGATGGTTCAAATCCTACTCCAAGACTTGACGTGACATTCCAAAACAGTACTGAGACAGTGTTGCTCTGCATGCCCCATCAGGACAGCATAAAATATACAAGCAAACTATTTTGAAGAACAGAGCCCTAGCTTATATTTAACACGTCATTCACACCGTCACCGATACTGATCATCTTTGATTTTCATTTAAAAAGACATTATACATGGAATGTGGGCATCATTGGCTAGGCCAGTATTTACTGCCCATTCCCAATTACCCAGAAGGTAATTAAGAGTCAATCACATTGCCATGTGTCTGGAGTGATATGTAGACTGGGCCATATAGGGATGGCACATTTCCTTCCCTTAAAGGATACAAGTTTTACAACAATCAGCATGGGAGCAGAGGGATACAGATCCTTGGAAAATAGGCGACAGGTTTAGATAGAGGATCTGGATCTGCACAGGCTTGGAGGGCCGAAGGGCCTGTTCCTGTGCTGTAATTTTCTTTGTTCTTGGTCACCATTAAGGAAGCCTTTCTTTAAAAAAATTCCAGACTTTATGAATTCTGATGTCACCATCTGTCACCGTGGGATTCAAACCCATATCCCCAGAATATTAGACTGACGTTTTGGATCACTAAATTGACTTTACCACTCCACCACTGCGTTCCCAATATGGTTATGTGGTGAAGCCTGCTATGCAGAAATCATGTGCTGCTGGATTTTTTTACATTTGTCACTAAGTACCTATAAAGCAAAATCTTTGTAATGTATTTAGGGGCGTTCTGTGGTCTTGGAAGGAACTTAAAAGAATCCCAAGTCTCTTTCTTTTCACAGACTTCTCTTGCCCAACTGATTTCCTTTACAAAAAACAAAAAACCATAAAACCTTGTAAACTTACTTCAATCCAGTCAAATATTCTTTGGTTGTCAGCTTTCTCCTTGATCAACTTATCAAATTGTTCACACAGGTCATTGAAAGATACTTCAGTTTTGCTTGATGATTCCTCATGACTAGATTCATTTCCCAGAGTAAACTCCACTTTCTATTAAATAAACAGTGAAATGTAAGAAAAAGTTTTATTCTGGTTTTTCTTGCACATACCAACTAAGAAAACAATGGAAAAAGGTTTAAAGTTAAGTCAAAGGTCAAAGACTGCTTTGGGCCACGGAACAGATTGCAAAGGATGTGCTGGAGATCTCAGAAATATTAATGACTACTCTGATTCTGTCTTTACTCCTGAAGATGACATTAAAACTATCAGAATTGAACAAATACAATCAATTATTAAATTAAAAGTGAACAATATATTGTTTTAAAAGAAAAAATTAACTTAAAAATACACAGTAACTGAGCCAATTATATCCACCTGAGGATCCTCAGGGCAATGGGACATGTTCTGTGCAAGGTTAGCTTCTATTTTTAATGGCTGACTGCATTCTGAGTTCATTCTCAGTCAATGGACTCTTCATCTTTTAAAAACATTATCAAGTTGGACCTGGATGGATTATAGGTATTGATAACAATAACAGAAAGACAATTGTGGAAATCAAAACCAATACAAAAGGATGACTTAACAACAAGAGAAAATTAGATAAGAATAAACTAGCAACAAATATAAAGCCCGAAGCTAAGTGCTTCTACTAAAGTATAAAACGACTAGCTAACTTGAAAACATTGGTCGAAGAAATAATTAAAGTGGTGAATGAAGAATTGGAACAAAGATTTGTATCTGTTTAAAGTGAAGAACACAAATCAGACCACAAGAAGAAAATTACAAGGCAACATAGGAATAACTTAAAACAGTAACCACTAGACAGACAATGATAGAAACAAAGTGCTGGATAAACTCAGGTCTAGCAGTATCTGTGCAGAAATCCTCAACGGTCATATCAGACTCAACTGTTTCTCTCTTCATAGATACTGTCAAGCGAGAATTTTTCCAGCATTGTTTATATTCCAGATTTCTGAAGTATCTTCCTTTTAAAATGGAGCGAAAGATAGTAGTGCCTGGACCAGATGGCCTGCTTCTTCCAGTCTTTAAGAAGTGGCAGCAGGGATAGTAGTTTTGAACTGTTACAGAACTAGAACAGTACAGCACAGTACAGGCCCTTCGGCCCACGATGTTGTGCCGAACTTTTACCATAATCCTAAAGGTCTATCTAACCTCCACCCCTACCTTATACTATCATCCATATGCCTATCTATTGGCGCTTAAATGCCCCTAATGAGGCTGACTCCACTAGCCTCTTTGGCAATGCATTCCACGCCCCGACCACACTGAGTAAAGAACCTACCTCTGACGTCTCCCCTATATCTACCTCCACTCACTTTAAAACTATGCCCCCTCGTAATAGCTACCTCTACCCTAGGAAAAAGTCTCTGGCTGTCCACTCTATCTATACCTCGGATCATTTTGTACACCTGTTATGGCAGTTAAGAGTTTATGAGAACAGACAGGGAAGTGGGTTTGAGGCCATGATCTTACTGAATGGCAAAGAGCCCTGCAAGACTTTACAGCCTACTCCTACTCAAGATCTTCAAACATGATTGAACCAGTCTCCACCACTTCCTCTGGCAGCTCATTCCATACATGCACCACTCTGTGTGTGAAGAAGTTGCCCCTTAGGCAATCTTTCCTCTCTCACCTTAAACCTATGCCCTTTAGTTCTGGACTCCCCCCACCCCAGGGAAAAGACCTTGGCTATTCACCCTATGCCCCTCATGATTTTATCAACCTCAATAAAGGTCACTCCTCAGCTTCCGATGATCCAGGGAAAATAGCCCCAGCCTATTCAGCCTCTCCCTATAGCTGAAACCTTCCAACCCTGGCAACATCCTTGTAAATTTTTTCTGAACCCTTTCAAGTTTCACAACATCCTTCTTATAGCAGGGAGACCAGAACTGCATGCAGTATTCAAAAAGTGGCCTAGCCAACGTCCTGTACAGTCATAACATCACCTCCCAACTCCTACACACAATGCACTGACCAAATGCTTTTCCTCTCCTAGTTACCTGCAACTCCACTTTCAAGGAACTATGAACCTGCACTCCAAGGTCTCTTTGTTCTGCAACAATCCCCAAGACATTAGCATTAAGCGTATAAGTCCTGCCCTGATTTGACTTTCCAAAATGCATTACCTCACATTTATCTAAATTAAACTCCATCTGCCACTCCTCCGCCCATCAGCCCATCTGATCAAGATCCCATTGTACTCAGAGGTAACCTTCTTCGCTGCCCACTACACCACCAATTTTGGAGTCATCTGCAAACTTACTAACCACACCTCCTATGTTCACATCCAAATCATTTATATAAATGACAAAAAGCAGTGGACTCAGCACTGATCCTTGTGGCACACCGTTGGTCACAGGCCTCCAATCTGAAAAGCAACCCTCCACTACCTTCGAGCCAGTTCTGTATCCAAATGACTAGTTCTCCCTGTATTCCACGTGACATAACCCTGCTAACCAGTCTACCAGAGGCACCTTGTTAAACCCCTTACTGAAGTCCATTAGATCATGGCCACCATTCTGCCTTCATCAATCCTCTTCATTACTTCTTCAAAAAACTTACGTTAGCAAGAGATGATTTCCCGTGCACAAAGCCATGCTGACTATCCCTAATCAGTCCTTGCCTTTACAAATACATTTAAATCCTGACCTTCAGGATCCCCTCCAACAACTTGTCCACCACTGATGTCAGGCTCACCGGTCGACAGTTCCCTGGCTTTTCCTTATTACTTTTCTAAAACAGTGGCATCACATTAGCCAACCTTCAATCTTTCGGCACCTCACTTGTGGCTATTGATGATACAAATCTCAGCAAAGGGCCCAGCAATGACTTCTAGTTTCTAAAGTTCTAGAGAATACCCAATCAGGTCCTCGCAGTTTTATCCATCTTTATGCGTTTTAAGACAATCAGCACCTCCTCTTCTGCAATATAAGCATTTTACAGGATATCACTATTTATTCCCCCAAATTTTCTAACTTCCATATCCTTCTCCACAGTAAACACCGGTGCAAAGTACTTGTTTGTATCTCCCCATCTCTTGTGGTTCCATACTTAAGCTGCCTTGTTGATCTTTAAAGGACCCTATTCTCTCTCGTTACTCTTTTGACCTTAATGTATTTGTAGAATCCTCTACGTATACTTCTACTATTGTCTTTATACTCTTCTAGGGATTCACTCAATCCCTGCTGTCTATACCTGACATATGCTTCCTTCTTATTCTTGACCAAAGCCTCAATTTCTCTAGTCATCCAGCATTCCCTCCACTTATCAGCCTTGCCCTTCACCCAACAGGAACATAACTGTCTCTGGACTCTGATTACCTTATTTTTGAAGACTTCCTTTCTCCCGGCTGTCCCTTTACCTGCAAACATCAACATCCAATCAAATTTTAAAAGTTCTTGCCGAGTACTGTCAAGATTGGCCTTCCTCCAATTTAGAACTTTTAACTCCTCAATTCAGTCTATCCTTTTCTATCATTATTTAAAACTAATAGAATTCCGATCACTAGCCCTAAAGTACTCCCCCACTGACACCTCAGTCACCCGCCCTGCCTTCTTTCCCAAAAGTAGGTCAAGTTTTGTTCCTTCTCTAGTAGGAATGTGATGGAATACTCCCCACTTGCCTGGATGCCTGCACTTCCAACAACATGCAAGTGTTTGACACCATTCTGAACAAAGCAGTCTGCTTGGTTGGCAACTCATCCACAAATATTCACTCTCTCCAGCACCACCACTCAGTACAAAAATGCATCGCAGAAATTCACCAAGGCTGAGGCAGCACCATCCAAACCCATGGCCACTACCATATAGAAGGACAAGCACAGCAGGCAATATGGGGACACCGCCACCCGCAAGTTTCCTCAAAGTCAGTCACCATCCTTACTTGAAACCATCTTGCCATTCCTTCAGTGTCACTGGGTCAAATCCTGGAATTGCCTCCCCAAACATTTTGCATGTGTACCTACACCAAACGGACCGCAATTCAAGTAAGTAGCTCAGAACAACCTTCTCAAAAGGTAACCAAGGATGCTGGCCCAGCTGGTGACACCCACATTCCACGAATGAATTTAAGAAATCCTGAGTGCATTCCAAATAATGGCATTTTTAAGTCAATAGGGGAAAGGTCTGTTTCAGCTTTGTTCCAATAAGTGGAAAGATCAGGAGTCAACTGTATAATTTATTTGAAGGCAGCACGGTGGCTCAGTGGTTAGAACTTCTGCCTCACAGTGCCAGGGACCGGGTTCAATTCCACCCTCGGGCAACTGTCTGCACATTCTCCCCGTGTCTACGTGGGTTTCCTCTGGGTGCTCTGGTTTCGTCCCACAGTTCAAAGATGTGCAGGGTAGGTGGATTGGCCGTGCTAAAATGCCCATAGTGTCCAGGGATGTTTAGGTTAGGTGGGTTAGACATGGCAAAATGCAGGGCTAGGGGAATGAGTCTGGGTGGGATGCTCTTCAGAGGGACGGTGTGGACTTGTTGGGCCGAATCGCCTGTTCCCACACTGTAGGGGTTCCATGAACTTCTATTCTATGAACTAGATCTAAGTTAGATGTCAGAAATTAATTCTTTCTACAAAGTAGTTTTTGGAAGACTAATCATAGTTAAGAGCTGACAAATCACAAGCAACATTAAATCCAGTGACATTGTAGGAAGTAGGAGTGAAAACTGTGGAGGCACTAATGATAAATATCGAGGTCACCCTTGGATACGGAGATGTTGCCAAGGGACCAAAGAGCTGCAAGAGGATAAACTCCGCTACAAGTCAGCCAGTTTAACTTCAGCGATGGAAGGATTTCAGAAAATATAATCTAGGTCTAAATTAGCAGTCACTTACAAAAAAATCTGGATTAATGAGCAACAGCCAGCACAGATAAATCATGTTTAACTTAAGTGTTTTGATGGGGTAACTGAGAGAGGTGAATTGGTATACAGAGTTACACACAGCAGTTGATAAAGTGCCACTAAAAAGCTTCCAAACAAAACTGAAGCCTATGGAACAGAAATAACAGGGCAGCAGGAACACAAAGTTGGGTGAGCGAATCAAAGTCGTAATGGATCGTTCTTTTTTGGACTGGGGCAAAATGTACATTTCGTTTACTCTAAGAATTAGTACTGGGCCCAGTGCTTTTCTTAACCTACACTGATCTAGCCTGGAAGCATTATGAACCAGGAGGCGGAGGGGGAGGAGGGAGGATAATAGACTTCAAAAAACATACAGACAGGGTGAATGAGTTTGGCAGATGAAAATAATTCAGAGAAATGTGAAGTGATTATTTTGGTGCAAGGTACAAGGTAATATCAACGTAGCGTAAAATCCTAATAGGGATGCAGAAACAGAAACCAGAGGACAAATGTAAATCATGGAAGTTGGCAGGGCAGGTCGAAGGAGTGGTTTAAAACAAAAAGGACCTGGATTGTATAAATAGAAGCATAGGGTGCAAAAGCAATGAAATTATGAAGAACCTTTAAAAAACAAATTTAACTTCAAATGGCGTACTGCATTCATTTCTGGGCAACAGACAGTAGGAAGAATGGAAAGCGTTAGAAAGGGTGCAGAAAAGATTCGAGAACAGTTCTGGAGACAAGTAATGTTACTTGTATAGAGAAACCAGGGAAGCATTTTTTTCCTCAGAAGGCAAGAGGAGAAACGGTAATAGAGACATTCAAGATCTAAGTGGTCTGAACAGAGTACAGAAAAAAAAGCATTCCCCATCACAAGGGTCAGAAACTAGAGAACATTAATTTTAGACAAATGCTAAAAGCATCAACAGCAACATGAGTAAAACATTTTATTTTTAAAATGCTAGTGGTTAGGATCTGGGACGCACTGTCCAAAAATGAGAGCGCCAGTTTATATGATGGCTTTCCAAAGAAAATTGGAGAAGCACCACAAGCAAAAAGATCTACAAAGCCATGAGGAAAGAACAAAGAATCACTCCCTAAATTTCTCATGTAAAGAGCCAGCATGGACAAAAAGACTGAACAATCATCTTTTCACAGAACTGCTACAGTGCAGAAAGGTGGCTATTCCACCTATGTGTCTTCAAATGCCCATTACCAAGTTGCCAGCTCGTCTTTTTCCCCTGTATACTTGCTCACCATTCCCATCTACTTACTGTAGAAAAAGCTCTCATCACCTTTGCTTCTTTTGCACATCACTTTAGATCTGTTTTTTGTACTTGTTCCTTTTACCAATGGGAACAGTGTCTCACTATATACTCTATCAGTACTCTCATGATTTTGAAAGTCTCTATCAAATTTCCCCTGAGCCTTTTTACCCTCAAAGGAGAACAGTTCCAACTTATGCAACCTATCCTCATGACTGAAGTTTCTCATTCCTGGAACCACTCATAAAAATTGCTTCTGCACTCTACGCTTGATTAACTGATCTGTCCACTTGTCCTGCCAACAACCAATGCACATACATCCAAAACCCTCTGCTCTGCACCGCCTTTAGGAGAGATTATCCCAAGACAAGAGATTGTTACACTAGGCATTTATTCCTTGGACTTTAAATACAGTTGAAATATAAAAAAAATTTAAAAGGGGCCTTGCAGGATAGAGGGAGTGCTTACCTGGGTTGGGAAAATCTAGAACATGGGGTAACAGTCTCATTCTAAGGGAATGGTCATTCGGATTGAAATGAGGAGAAATGCGTTCACTCAAAACAGCTGTGAATCTTTGGAATCCTCTACGCCTGAGAATCACTTATGAAGTTTAATCACAGAGGTCAAAGGATTGCTGTGGCAGAAACTTAACAGGAACCTGAACACTGCAAAGTCTGGGAACATTGCACAACAAATTGGGTGAGGCCCTTCTCAACATTTAAAAATGCAAAGACTTGCTTACTAACGGAGACTACTGCTTTTTGTCAGCCCCATTAATGAGGCAGGATCTACAATTAATATGCAGCTTTCCATCCTACTTCCCACTGTCAGGAACGCAGACAACAATCCCAGATACAAAGGTCAGATTGGGTATTTGATGGCTTCACCTCAGCATTTGCTCTTCCAGGCCACTATGATTGGCAAAGCCAACAATGTTTCAGGGCACATTCCAGGGCATCAGCTGCATGCAACTGTCTATGGAAGTTGGTATCCAACATCTATGAACTTCTCAGAACCCTCATGGAATCTTTCCAAACCACTTTCAGGATACTTTTGCAGTACAAAGCTGCACATGGACAACCAGCACTGGACAGTTGTTTCAAGAACATTGTGCACACAGGGTCTGCCACCCAGCTCATGGGCTGCATCTCAGGGCTGTCTGCTTGCTGTCTTAGCCCTCAATCCATCTTGAGCCCACCTGGATGTTCACAGCATCCCTTCACGGTCTTTTAGCACTTTGTCATCCCGTCAAAGCTACCAGGTTCACATTATTTCAATCTTGCTTTGCTGTTGAACAATGACACAAAGCTAGGATATTTCTTAATTGTCAGCAGTCCTTAGTGAGTAGAGACTGCCTTCAGTGGGTCCCAGTACAGTAAATCAAAGACAGTCTTCAGTTGCAACCTAGAAGCTTGGGCACAGCCAGCCAGGATCTGGATCCTCTCCTCAGAGGAGGAATTGAATGTTAGCAGCGTAACAATAATTTTGACTCTGTCTGTCCTACAGTGGGCCGTTTTCCCTGGAATGAGAGAAATAAATGATGGAGCGATACAGAAAAGGGTAGAACAGCTTGCTGATGCTGCAGCACGAGGGAAAGTTGGCGGGTTGTTCTGAGTGAGTGAGTGAGTGAGTAGGGGGCGCAGAGGGCATGTAGATTGGTAATGTCAGGTGTTAGGTGGATAAAAGCATGAGCTAAGATGTTGCATACCATAGTTAAGAGTGGTAGAGCATGAGCCTTTGTGGGAGGCGTGTGCAGTAGCAGAGATGCAGTGAGTGTGAAGCTGCAGAGAAGATGGTAGCTCTTATCCTGGCAGAGTGGAAGATGACTTTCTATACTGTTAACCATTCCTCCAGATGGCTGAGAGCATACTGGTCCAGGTGGCAACCTCAGCCCAGGTCGGCAGGGTCTATCATTGTGCAGGGCAATTCTGGACTGACCAGGCTGCACATCAGCATTTTCATGAAGGCACAGCACTTAAGACAACAGGCTATTCCACGATATCTTGGCAGTGGTTAATTCCTCCAAGTGCAACAAGTGGTACAGTTGGGTTAACACAGTAGCATCACCATAGGGCCAGGCTAAATAGTTAATGAGGAGAGTTTGAGTTGATATCGCGAGGAATCTCACTGGGCCTCACAGAAACACCCCATGAAACTGAACAAAATTTACACTTAATCAAAATATGACAAGATTCAACACCTGGTTACTCAGGGAATGAGAAAAATGGGATAATGCAGGAAGGTGGAGTTGTTTAAACGCTGCATTTGCTGACACTGACACATGCTCACCATGTGCTGCTTTGAATCACGTGCGCAGACTTTGGGGTTTTGTGGGGGAGATGATAATAAGATTGGGAGGATACAGAAAGGAGAGGCAGGGAGATTAGGATCAAGGAGAGAACAGGTCCTGGGATTGTCTCCTCTTCTCACTCTGGGAATACCCAAACAGCCCCCTACGGCATCTCTCTCTCTCTGCCAGTGAAACCCACTACAAAATTGTGCGTGCAGTTCCCTGTGCATGCACAGTAACGCATTTGTGCATGTCGTTACACCAAGTCTACGTGATGACCCGAGTGCTGCAAAACATGAGTTTCCCAATGAGCACACGTTCATAGTTGCCTGCAGTTGACAGCGTCAGCAATCACTCCCTTGTTGAAAAGCAGAGTAGAATGGCGTACCAGTCTTTATATTCTTTGGTACACACTAACTCCAACTTTGGCAAAATGCAATGAATTCCTTAATAACTGCACAAGTTTTATACAACTATTAAGTACAAATATATGTATAAATCTATATGTACCACATTAGTTTTAATATATGTCATTAAACTGAACAAACAGGCTCTTTGCAATAAGTAGCGTAACTTTGTACACACAAGTGCTGCGCCAAAAAAGACTCAAAATTGATTAAAGGATTCAAACAACTGAGTGGGATACAAATCACAAAGTAGGACTTCCTGGCACACTCAGCAACAATAGTACTGCATATATGTGCTAGAAGGTAATGTTTTCTGTGGCAATAGACCTATTGACAAACATTATGTCTCTCAAAAAGCTGCATGCACCAAAGCAATACGCAAAAATCAGTACCAAAAAAAAAAAGACGTATTACTGCCTCTTGGGCTCACAAATACAAGACATATTAAATGGAAATTATAAATACCTTGTCTGTGACAAATTGGTTGATGTCTTTTTCCTCAGGAAGGAATTCCTTCCAGCTTAGATCACCCTCTCTCCACAAAGAGCCTGCCTTCTTACGGCTCTGCAAGATTGACGAATTCAATGTGAGACCTACCAACTTTAAGCAGCATGGACATAAATATGAACTTGCATCAAATAATCAAAACTTACCATTCCTTTGCAAAGTAAAGATAGTAAATCAGCAAGCAGAAGGCCGGCCTTTCCAATGGTGATCAGTGGTTTGGCCACTTCTCTGCCAGGAAAACAATTTAAGGAAAAGTTAAAAAAAATTAATTTCACAAAAATTCATGCAAAATCTTGTGATACTAAGTGATGCAATGAAGAATCCATCAGAACATTTTGTGAAAAGATATAGGGCACATGTTCAGTTTTGGAACCAAAAGCATGTTCAAATTCAAACATTCCATCAATTGAAGAACTTTTTATCCATAACAACCAGGTTGAAAAGCTTTTCATACTCAGGAAAATCATCTTTAAATTTTGACCTAATTGAGGCCCATGAACTAGCATACAAAGGAATCTGTGCCCGTTCGTCCTTGAAATAAAAGGTCATGTACTCAATAATCACATTTGCATCACAGAAATATGCATACGCTCACATTAAGCCGTGCATTTACTTGACAATTGGTTTTGAATGGATCCAACAGACAGTATTTCAGCCTTCCATTCATGTAGCAAATGATTACAGCTTTCAATCACTTCCAAAAACATACTACTTTGCAACAGAACAAGACCCAATAAACAGCTGAGGAAATAAATAACCAGCTATCGTATTGTTTTAGTAATCATGATCAAGATTGAAACGTTGGCCTACAGAAAATAACGTCCTTTAAGCAGTACAATTGCATTTTAACATGAACCTTTCTTTCCTCCCCAAAGTCTCATCTGAAGAATGACAGTGCTAACAAATTCAGCACCGTAATGGAGCATTAGTTCAGATTGAGAAAGGAGTCAGAACCCACACATGCCAATCTGATCCAGAGGGAAGACCTTTACAGTTTAAAATTCCCAGTTAACATAGACTGATGGACTAGCATTTCAGAGATCATATTCAATCTATTAAATATACCTACTAAAGGTAGGTGAACTTTTAGTCACTCCTGTCCTAAACATGAAACTGGAAATTCAATATCGAATCTGAACAGCATTTCTAAAAGCCAGGAGATACTCTACTTAAACTAGAACTCCTCGGTCAGAAATTGATAATCTTAATTCAATAGTAACAGTCTCTCCAGAATCGGGGGTATGGGTTAAAGCTCTATGCCAAGGCTCATGCTCTAGCCTGAGCATTCCACTGAATTGCTGCTGTCTTATTGATGTGCCATTTTTCAGATGTGACTTGAAATGAACATGGAACTTCTAAACACAGTATTCATCATGCAACTAGGGCCAGAACAATGTAGTGACTAGTATCTTATCCCTTACCAGAATCAACAAAATTGATCCATCATTCTATTCATTGCTGCTTGGTGCACATTTGCAGCAATGTTTGCCTTAACTTTTGACATTCACGGGCTTTAAAGTGCAGGTTGTTACGATCAAGGATTTTAAAAGAATATTTTAGAATAGTAATTCATTTATACTTACAATGTTTCTGTTTATGCCACATTAATGCAATTTTCATTGTTTGATTAATTCCTAACATCAGCAAAAAGTGATTACCTGAAAAGATCTCCCATTGGTATGCCTCCATCATGTAGCATGTGAACAATTAGTTCAGCAAGATATTGCCATATATGTGGAATATCAATTTCCATATCTTCAGCTATTTCAAGGATTTCATGTAGTCTGTGGTTATACAAATAAAAATGTATTAAGTTATTGATTAGGTAAAACTGCTACACAAACTAATTATATTGGCATGTAAAGATTGGTAAATTAATACACACAACCAAATTTTGCAGATCTAATAATTCTTCAGCATTATTGATCGCACATTCACAAGTTAATATGAACGCAAAAATTTCAGTCGTCACATTTGGCAAAACAGTTGAGGAAAAAAAAAAAGATGCAGAGTCATAAGTAATGGAATTAATGCCTTTTGACAGTTATTGAATAAAAATCTGAAGGCACAAGTCCTCACAACAACTGAGGAATATAGTTGATGCAGATACTAAACTAGTCAAAGCTGTATAGTATCTCAAAAAGTACAATATTGAGAATTTCTGGAAAAAAAATATTTTGTCAAAGCTTTTCATCTTGCATTCATCAGGATAATTCACAAGAGATACCAGATAAAAGGAAAACCATGTTTTCGACCGTATGAGAATAGTGCTTATTTGTTCCAAGTGGACTTTGACTAGTGCAGGATTGCCATTGAGAATGCACAGACTAGATGACAAGCAGTTAATTGCAAAACTATGTTTAAGTTTTAACTAGACAGGTCGACTTGAAAGTGAATCAGAGAATGGCTATCACTTGCTTTATTAATTTAGAACAGGTTCAATGTGCGCACAAGGTCCTTCCATCTGCAAAGAACAAGACCTTGTGTATTAATATACATAGCTTCCAGTATGTGCAAAAGCATCACACTGTCAACCTGGCTGGCAATCCTAAATTAGCTGTCAGAATTATTATTAGCACACTCAGGATTATTCAGTAAATGCTGTCCAATTTTTTGTGTTGGAGGGTGGGGGTGAAAACACTTGAAATATCCAAATATAGATGAAGATACTGGTAGTGTAAGGCACAGCAAGGGACAGGTGTTCCTATACTGCATTCAGAAGAGTTGCCCACAACAGTACGTTTCAGTCCAACAAGAAAGGATGCATTGTACGACCTAGCCCTTGGAAATGAGGTGAGCCAAGCAGATCAAGTAACAATGGGGGAAGCATTTAAAGAGTAAGTGATCATTGTCTCAAAGTTCAGGACGGTGGTGGAGAATGATACGCAACAATCCAAAATAAGAAAAATAAACTAGTGGAGAGCGGACTTCAGTGGGACATGAACACAGCTGGGCAGGATTGGCTGCACCAAGGAGGTTCCTGGGTAAAACAGTAACTGAACAGTGGGCTACCTTCAAAGAGCTGATGTTTCAGGTACAGTCGAGATATATTCCCTCAAATGGGAAACGTAGGGCAAAGAGACTCCTGGATGGTAAAGGAGGGAGAAATTAACATTAGAAAAAAAGTTCACTTAAGACAGGTGCAAGGCAGAAAATACCAAGAGAACCAACAGAAATGCTGAAGATTTAGGGGAGAGGCCAAATGCAAATAAGAGAAGCAAACAGTAATTATGAGAAATGACCAGCATCTAACAAAAAGGGGAATTTCAAAGCATTCGGTAGGCACATACATAGCAAAAGAGCAGTTACGAGAGGACCAAGTCCAACTGAAGATTAAAAAGGGGATTCACACCTGCATGACTGAGCTGATAAGTGAAAACCTTACACCTGTCATTATAAAAGAGGATTCTGATGTTGGAAGAAATTCTGCCACTAGAAGAGTTCAAAAATTAATAAGGAAATAGTGCTGGAAGTGACAGGTACTTAAACTTGACAAGGGACCAACTGAGACCCATCCGAGGATTTCAAAGGAAGTTGTGGGCCAGAAGACTGGAGAATTGTGAACATTACACAGTCTTGTTCAGGAAAGGCTTTAAAGAATAAACCCAGCAACTACAGATCAGTCGGTTCAATTCTGGTGATGGGGAAGCTTCTAGAGACAAATACTCAGGATAGAAGTAGTAGTCACATGGAAAAAAGGTAAGGTGATTAGGAACAGCCAGCATGGATTTCAAAAAACAATGGCTCGATAAGGGTATGCTGGTGATATGCGGTTTACATGGATTTCCAAGTTTTTGATACATTGTCACACAATAGACTTGAGAATGTTATAGATATGGGTGTTATAGATCACAGCCAGGAACAGAGATCCAAAATTGGCCGAGTGATGGGAAACAGAGTAATGGTCAATGGATACTTTAAGACCCGAGGAACGTTTGTACTGGAGCTTCCCTGGATTCAGTGTCAAGATCTTTGCTTTTCCCAATATATATTATGATCTGAATCTTCATGTGCAGGTGACAATTTCAAAGTCTGCAGATGATAAAAAAAACTTGGAAGAATTGTAAATTGAGAGGACGGCAGGATGGAACTCCAAAAGGACTTTGATAAGTTGGAGTGGGCAGATAGGTGACAGATGATGTTCAATGCAAAGAAAAAGTATGAGCTGATGGATTAGAACATGGCTAAAAAGATACAAAACAGAGGATAGCTATAGACAGACATCTCTCAGATTGGAAAAGGAGTTGAAACTGGTGATCGCCAAGGATCAGCGCTGGGACCCTTGCATTTTCTGATTTATATAACAATTTGGAGATGGGTGTTGAGGCAAAAATCTCTAAATTTGCAGATGGTACTAAGCTAGGGAGAAAGTGAATCGTGAAGATGATGCTGAGCAACTTCAGAGACACTGACAAGTTGGCAAAATGGGCAGGCACTTGGCAGATGAAATTCAATGCAGAGAAATAAGAGGTAATGCATTTTGGTAGAAGAAAGAGAGACAATATGGTACAACTTAGAGGGGAACACAGGAGCAGAGGAACTTCAGGATTCACATGCATAATTGAAGTGGCCAGGCAAGTTGAAACAGTTAAGGTGGCTTTATATGATCCTTGGGTTTATAAATACAGGCAAAGAGCATAAAAAGCAAGGAAGTGATGCTACAACTCTACAAATCATTGGTCAGACCACATCTGGAGTAGTGTGTTCAGCTCTGGATTCCTGGTTTAAAGGAAGGATGGTTAATGCCCTGGGGAGTACAAAAGGATATTTACCAGAATGATACCACAAATGAGGGATTCTACATACAAGAAAGATTAGAGAAATTGAGCTTACTCTCCTTGGAGCAGATAAGATTAAGAGATGACTTTTCAAGTGTTCAGAATTTTTTAAACAATTACAGAGTTAAGAAGGATATTCCGTTTCCATTCGTTGGTAGCACAGAATCCCTACCAGTGTGGAAGCAGGCCATTCAGCCCAGTGAGTCCACATTACCCTCCAAAGAACATCCCACCCAGACTTACACACATACTCTATCCCTGTAACCCTACATTCCCAACAGCTATACCACCTAGCCTGCACATTCCTGGACACTATCTTTGGATTGTGGGAGAAAACCGGAGTACCTGGGGAAACCCACACAATCACAGGCACAATGTGCAAACTCCACACAGTCACCCAAGGCTGGAATCAAACCTGGGTCCTTGGCCACATGAGGCAGCAGCGCTAACCACTTAGCCACTGTACCACCCAGACATTAGTAACTAACGATCACAATTTCGAGATCGTCAGAAAGACAGTCTTGAGCTAGATGGGGAGAAATGTCATTGATTAGAGTGTTGTTAGGATCTGGACACGCTGCCTGTGAGCATGGTGGAGGTGGATTCCATTGGAGGTTTAAAAAAAAGAGAGCTGGATACATATTTGTAAGTGATGAGCTAGAGGGCTACAGAGATAGAGCCAGAGAATGGGACTAACTGGGTAGCTGAACAGCTGATACAGACATGATGGGTCAAATGGCACACCTTCTGTACTGTAAATTCTACAATTCTACGCACTCTGGTCAGAAGAACACTGAAAGGCAACATAAAACAGGCAGTACAATACTAAAGGTGGTGCGCTGGTGCACCCTGTGAGCGCACAGAAATCATTAAAGGTGGCAGTACAGATGGGGAAAGCAGTTAATTAATACAGTGACTTCAACATTATTAGGGGCGCAGAGTACAACAGCAAGGAGGTGATGTTGAACTTGTCAAATGATGTTTTGTACTTGAGCTGAAATATTAAAATATGGTTGTTGGCGCCACATTATAGGGAAGATGTGAATGCATTGAAGAGAGCGCAGGAACAATTCACAAGAATGACTTTAGGAATGAGATTGAAAGCTGGGTTATGAGGATAGATTGAATAACCTTGGACAGTTCTTGTTGGAAAGGTGGTGGCTGAAAGGAGATTTGGTTAAGAGGTTTTCAAAATCATGAGCGGGCTGAATAGAACAGTAGGAATAGGCTGCTTTTGCTTGTGGAAAGAACAAGAACAAGAGGGCATAGATTTAAAGTGATGTGAGAAAGAAGCAAGGATGATGTGAAAAACAACGTTTAACACAGTGAGTAGTTAAGGCATTTGATGCTTATTTGCATATAGTGTACAAGTACATAGGGAAAAGACAGGAGATCAGTACTAAGTAATGATGCTCACTGTAGAGGTGCGCAAGCACAATAGGATGAATGGCCTTCTTTTGCACCATAACAATTTTATTGGACATTGGGTTTGGCCAATAGCTTGCAGGTAGCAAACAGCCAAGGAATACACAGTTTTGACTTGATCCACTATTCTTTGGGACATAAGAGTTATCATATGCACCATACCAGCACTGAAATTCATATGCTGTATTACTCACTAGTATGATCAGAACATCTGTTAGTTAAGAACATCACTCATGTTACTAATGCATAATGAGCAATCATCGAGCTTCACTTGTTGCTTGAACCTTAGTCTTCCAGGCTAATTGAACAGTGTATCCCTTAAGGTGTTTGCAATAGGTATTGTCTGTATCCAGCCAGCCTCTCAAAACTCAAAACAGTGTCCAACATTAAACAGGATTCCACAATTGAACATTTGCCAAATAATGCAGAATATACTCAAATATGCAGACAACATTTTAAGATTAACAGTCAGGGTCACTTTGTGGCACACTTATGCAAACTGGAAGATATATTTATTAACACAGGGCCTGATTTTCTTTTTACTACCACTGCATCTGTTTCAAATCATTACATATGTGACAGTCATTCATTTCTCAAAATGATGTCTTCTTCTTCAGAGTCAATCTGTCAGATTTAAATTTGAGCAAAGCCTGGCAATTAGCTGTCAGTCATCTAACTGGTGCATTGCCCATGGCAACATCTCTACCAAACAGAAAACTTGCTAACCAATCAGAATCCATTTGCCAATCAATACTGTTGTCATCTCAGTATAAAATCCTGTCTTCTCTTTACACCATTGCTTGCAAACATCCTTTTGCATGCAAAATGAAAAGGTTCAACAAAATGCATCTTTTCAGCAATACTCTAGTTCTGTATTACCAAACAACCAAGTTCAATACTAAGGTCTTAAAAAATGATTTATTGGGTCCAATATTTACCCTTTGCAGTACTGTTCCTTTGATAGAGTACCAGCTTTTACAAGGTGATATAACAGAATTCCCATGTGTTCTCTTGCTAGTGCACTTCTCTCCAAAGTTGACTCGATGCCACTTCGAACAAAGATGTGCAAAGTCTTAGGTGATTCAAGCTCCTGCACGCACTGCGATGCTTCCTACAGAAAATTAAGCAAACTTGCAATTTGTTTTCAGAAATTCCACACAAACCAGTGTTTTATAAATTTGCCTAAATGTTACATTTGTGAATGCACAATTGCCTGTTATCAGTAATTACATTATTCTGTTCCTGAAGTATGGCCACACAGTTGAAGGTTATTAGAAACTGTAATAATTGCACAAGTTTCTTGATTAATTAGTAGGCTACAGGCATTGTGGTTTTGGTAGTTGCTATAGTTGGGGAGGTAGTCTACAAATTCACAATGTTTTCCTTAGTACAGCTGCATTTTTGACAAATCCATGACAGGCATAGCTATGCTATAGCTAAGTTGCTGGCTGTTATGGGGTCTTTGCTATACAAGCACTGTATAACACTAAAAACTATAGCACTGAAAACCTGAGCTAGTTTTAAAGAAGTCCATTGTGTAATCTAGAACGGCACAATCACCTGAACAAACTCCATCGTCTAATCAAAAGTTGCATGCTTATTTTGCACTTGCCTTTATATCATTGATATGCAAATATTCTTCAATGATTGCCTTGGATTTCTTCTCAAACTCTTCTTCAGACAGGGCAGGCTTATCAGGTGTCACAGATACAGAGACCGGTTCAAGCTTAACTATAAATTAAAAAGAACACACAATTAAGTTTTTTTTTTAAAAACATTTAGCTCAATACTGCAGCTTTTCTACAGCTCAAATGACTATCAAGTTGATAATCCACCACACAGTATGTCTACAGCTCTCAAATGCCTGACAGCACAGGACCATCCAGCCTCCTCTTTGGTCCTGTGGTCACCAAATATAATTTTAATCAGTTTTACAGCACTTCGGCTCACTAGTGTCTGCACCAGCCATCAAGCAGCTAAGTACTCTAACTCCATTGCCCAGCACTTGGCAGATAGCCTTCAAGTGTTTCAAGTGTTCAGCTTATTACTTAATTGTTGTGATGATTCATGTTGAGTTTTCTTGCAAATCCTGTAAATGTGTGGATTGAAATACTTTTGTAATAGCTTTTGTTCAAATTTTATGAATGAAGTATATTTTTTGGGAAAGTCATTAAATAAAGCACAACAGCTTTCCAACTGTCTAGACAGGAAAGTTGCTTTCATTAAACATTGAATACTCAAATATGTTTTCGAAAGCTTTGCCCTTAAATTTTTTTCCACAATTCAACAGCCATCTTACACAGATCTCATGCAGAGACGTTTTCCCTTCAGGAGCTACAGCATTAGTGCCTGTGCCAATGGAACCACTGAGCCCTAGAGTCGAATACAGCACCACCTACTCTCATACCCTCAAATGTTTACGATTCCCCAGAACTCATTTTGTTAAAAACTCAGTTGTCACTGGGAGCATCTCATTATACATAAAGACACAAGGTCACTAACTGCTTATTTTTCTGTTTAAAAGAAGGTTTTTTTTCCAAGCTTCTAAAATTATAAGACTGCAATTTAATGACTGAAAGGGATTTTGCTCCATGGAAAAATGACAGCATTAAAACAATAGTATAAGGTTGGCAAGCCTAGCTTCAACAGTAAGGCAATGCCCACATATACTGGAATCAATATTAACATATTGCTCCATCTTCGGGAGCGATACACACTAAATGACCTAACCCAATACCTGTTGCTAATACAGATATTTCAAAACAGTGATTAACGTGTAGTAAATGAGTAGGGGTGTTCTACAACTCAGTTCAATTTAACACACTCCTTAATTCAACACAGCTCTAACCAGGTTTATTTAGTGACTATGGAACTAGTAAAATTACACTTAGCTAACTTCTGGAACATTTCTTGCACAAATAGCATAATGGAAACTAGACTCCAGCAGCCACTGCAGTACAAATAATTTTATCCAATTATTGAAGAGGTTTTTTCACTAGACAATAAATAGTTGCTTGAATGACTTGAAATCCCATGAACATAACTAAGCATTCTAGCAGGATCTATAGTTGACCTTAAAATCCACTTCCAATAAAATAAAATTGGTGGGTAAAAGGCACAATCTCTCAGGCAAAACACAGTTTTGAGAGAATAATCTTCGTGCTAACGCCACACTATTTTCATACAAAGTTAAGTCAGATCCCCAAAGCCAGTAGTCAACAACAGCTGAAACCAATGTAACAAAAGACTTTGGAACATTACAGTTGAAGGGCTCTTGGGGTATAGTGGCATTTTTCCTACCTGTGAGCCAGGAGGCACAAGTTCAAGTCCCAATAGCTTCATAGGTGTTTAATAACATCGATAAACAGGTCAATTAGAAAATATCTTGAACACTGTAGTTACAAGCTCTTATGATGCAGCTGTAGAGCCAGGAGGACAAGGTTCAAGTCTCAGTTACTCCAAGTGTATAGTAACATCTCTGAACAGCTTGATTAGAAAAATATTTTGACAGTATGGCTACACAGCTCAAAGAGCTCAGTTGGCAGAGCGCTAAGCTGAAGATCTAAAATTTCCTGGTTTTGACAGTGAATCCCCTCTGTTTTAGGGCTCTTGAGGTTCAGTGGTAGTGTCCCTACCTCTAGACCAGGAAGCCTGGGCTGAAGTCCTGTTTGCTCCAAACGTGCGCAATAACATTCCTGAACAGGTTGATTAGAAAATTTCTTGAACAGTGTGGTCAAGGTTCTTGCGGCGCAGTACTGGTGTGTCTCTACCTTTGAGGCAGGAGGCATGGGTTGAAGTTACACCTATTCTAGAGGTAAACTGACTAAGTTTATTAAAAATATCTTGAACAGTGTGGCCAAAACTTAATATATTGTTCAAGTAGGAACTTAATCTTCTTGAATATAACTGACATATTAGAACTTATTAGATCAGACACAAATTAGTAACAATAACAACAGATTACGGATTTAAAATAATCAGGGCCAGTGATCTTTTTAATCTTATCATGAGCTGCAAAACATGATGAAACTGCACACACTGTGATCAAGACTGCGCAGAATTGACAAGAATATCACAGTGGGCGTGATAATGGTATACAAGAACTATTGATTTTTCACTTTTGTGATCTGACTTTCATTGCCTGGGATTAAAATGGTTTACCACGATGACCTCTCCACCTGGACATAACATGGGGAAAAAGGTTATGCGTAAGGGAACAAAAAGAGTGCATATGGACTCAACGGTGCATACAAAGGTACTCAGTTAAGAACCTAGTAATTTGTACGACAGAAGCAGCTCCAGCAAATCTTGCTAGAAAAAGCTTAAAACAAAATCAGTACGAATGCAGTTTAGGACCACGTAGCCCAGCACATGGTTGTGTATAGGGAAAATTCATTTTTTTTCAAAAATCCTGTTCATTAGAACAGTATTTCAACAAGAGATAAATAAAAAATTAATTGGAGCCAATTTTTTTTCTCAGAATTCTATTTAATATTGCATATTCTCTCGTTCTAAACTCCAACAACGTCATGCAACTTACCAGATTCTCTGCTCTGATCTCGCACATGTCCTCGATCTCTTTCTTCTGTCATGCTGGCCACACGTCTGACTGGCTCTTGAGAGCTTCGTCGTTCTCGCTCCCTGCTTCGGTCATCTACTTCTTTGCTATAGCTTCTCTTAGTAAGTTGAGGTCTGTTACGATCACTTCTCTCAAGTTTCTCAGCACGGTCACTTTTGTCACACTTTTCACCATGATCAATTTTCTCATTTCTGTCATGACGTTCACTCCTTTCAAATCTGTCTCCCCTCTCACGCTCCCCCTTTTCACTTCTATCACGACTTGAACTACTCCTGTTGCCAACCCCACAACAGAAAAAAAATCAGTATTACACAATTGATCACAATTAACTCAAATTTGACTAAATATTATTGTATGCAACTTTTATTTCTGCGAGATTCACTTGTAAAACAAATTTAGGTTGAGAGAAAAAAAGTTTTGCATTTATCCTTTCTATAAGCTCATCTTAGACAGGTATGAATCACTTTTTCCACGAACCTCTTTTTCTGATAAAGCACTGAATTTCACTGATATCAATTTCCAATTTTTCAGCAAAGAGATACCCAGATGTAACAGCTGCATCCTTTGCATCTGCCCATATAGTCTACTTAAGTACTACAGATTATTTATTTCTATTCCTAAAGTACTGCTTTGTATCTGGCATCATATCATTTGAGAAGTAATGCAACTGTTTTTGATTCATTTTTTAAGGGTACATTTTATGCACAGCTTAAAATTAGCATTTGTTACTTACTTTCCAAAATGAGTTAATTCAAGTCATGTAGTGCTGCTGTTTCCAAATTAAATAACATAAACAATGGAGTACACCTATTTAAGAAGTAAATTTGCATTTCTAATCTATGTAGTGGAGTTGAGTTTTAACAACTGAAAAACACTTTTTAAAAAATGCACCAGACTTATAAGCTCAGTCACCAACTTGCCTGGGGACAACTCTCCGTGCATCAAAATTGTCTGTAGACGATGACTGTTGGAGAGCTGAAAATCTGTTCAATGTGGCTGGCCTTCCTGAATCCACACCTAAGCACATAAATAGGAAATAATTATTCATGCCTGTAGACAACTCAGAAATCAATACACAGTGACACTTGATTAGATTTCACTTTGACAACTAGATGCTACATCACAGGAAGTTTTATTTTTCAAAAAGTTAAATACAGATGCATCAAAACACCAGGGATTAAAAGTCAAAATGATGATCAAAAGTTGCTTAGGCTTGGCTCACATTCTCCTGGGAGTCTAGGTGGTTGTGGTATCTAATGGTTGACCTAAGTGTCTGAAGTGATAAGATTTGAATGAGTGGATATAGAGAAGATGCTTTCACTGGCAGGGGTAGCATAACAAACACAATTTAAGTTATGGGCCACCCACACACAGCATAGTAACAATATGAAACACTCTTCTCAAATAAAAAAAATTGTGGACAAATTAAATGTTTGAGACAGAAATCAATACATCTTTATTCATAAAAGTCATTCTGGGGTGTGTAGAGGCAGACAAAGAGTTTAGTTATAAATGCAGGAACAGACTCAAGAAATACACAGCCCTCTGAAAATCTTACTTCTTCTAATTAAGCAGTCATGGTCCTTAACGTGCAACATTCAATCAAATGACATGCAAATCAAACTCAAAATTAAAAGCAGTAATGTCTACAAATTTAAAAAGTGGGTAAATCAAAGTCTGTTTAAAAAGGGCAGGCAACAACTAATGTAACAAATTCCTCAATTTGTTTAGTCTCTTCTAAAGTTGTGATAAACACTAGGGCATTTCAATCACACACTTCGATCCTTACACCCACTTTCCAATGAAGTGACCCTGGACTAGCATCGACCATATGTCAAACCATGGTCATTCCTGGTCTGTATGGCTCAGTGTTAAACGTAACATGAAGCATACAGGTGTCAATAAAAGAAAGCCGCTGCTCAAAATTTCACCCTAACAAAGTAGGGAGATAACAGATAAAAGGTAAATTGAACAGATCAAAATTAAACCAAAAATGGAAAAAGGGGCTAAGTTAACACAGTGTGGAGCTGGAGGAACAAAGCAGGCCAGGCAACATCAGAGGAGTAGGAAAGTTGATGTTTCGGGCCTGAAGAGGGGTCCCAATCCAAAACGTCAACTTTCCTGCTCCTCTGATGCTGCGTGGCCTGCTGCGTTCCTCCAGCTCCACACTGTTATCTCTGACTCCATCATTGGCAGTTCTTACGATCTCCATGGAAAGAATGTTTTCCACTTTCCCTCTGTACAGTTTATTTTAGGGGATTTGTTTTTGCAGGTTAAGATTAAAATTGGTAACAAAATTATTCTCAATGGTCAACAAATTTAATTACTAGGACATAACAGCAGTTGCAATAATATTGGGAGTATGCTCAGTGAATCTATCACTAATCTAATCATTGCTGAAATAGTCAGTTGAATCTGTTTCTATGTTGGCCAAGAAAGACATGTCACAACATTGTATTCAGAGAGAAAATACCTGTGTCATTAGGTTTGCTTCCAGATCCACCACTGCTTCCTTTAACCCAGCCGCCAAGTCGACCTGCTGGTGCCAACACTTGATTACTGTAATCCATGGCCCCTGGCTATTTACAGAAATTGGGAAGAAATTCTGGTAAAGAAGAAATTGCTCATATTTAATATACCAAAACATGCAGTTAAACTTCAAGAGGACAATAGCCCCGCACCTTAGTAATCTTGCTTAGCCGATTAGTATCGATTGGTCTACTATTTTTTGCGATTGGCACAGTATTCCATCCAGCTTCATCAATGCCTTGACTTCCTCGGCCACCTAGGGACATCAGATATTTAACTTTTAAAAAAACTCAAAGCAAATGTCATGTTAAAAATCATAGTTGAAGACCAGCTAGACCAGCAGCTCCACCATCAGCTACGTAAACGAATTTGCCCCTGCGTTGCACATGAACGAATTAAGAGTTCAATGTCATCTAGTTTTAAGAAATGTACAACTTGCTACTTTCAGTGAACATCAGCTGAGTGAGATTATTTATTAATTTGAACTGTCCAAACTGCGTAGGTCTATTTGAAATAGTGCATGCTGGGAAGAAATCCTCAAATTGGTAAGGATTCCACTCTCAGAATAAACTTATACGTTGGAGAAAAGTACCTTTTGTAACTTGTATCAAACTTCAAAGCAAACCAATGACATGGCAGTGCAACTATCCACTGTAAAATGCCAATCAAGTTAAAAACAAACATGTTTCAGGATTAGGAGGTAACGTTTCAAATTTTGCTCTTTTCCAAAAGAAAACAATTTTCAAAACAATACATAAAATGTCAATAGAGTTGGATATACCCAACTATTACAGTAACTTATGAAAGTTTCTTAAATGTGATGCTGATAGAAATGCTTGCAATCTACCTTCATATTTAGTGAGAGATGAATCATAGAATCCCTGCAGTATGGAAACAGGCCCTTCAGCCCAACAAGTCCATGCTGACCCATCCCCCATATCCCACCTAATCTACACACCCCTCAACACTATGGGTAATTTAGCATGGTCAATCCACCTAGCGTGCACATTTAAAGCAGCAAACACTGGCTCATTTGAAAAGGCTGAAGAGATGACTAGAAATAACATAGTTGGTCGTAAGGAAACTGGTAGTCACATGGCTTAAGCGACTGTTTGGATATATTACTGTAAATGACATGTCTGGTTTTATGGCTGTCAGGAGTTCTATTTTGTTTGAATATTGTTTGTAGTTCAGTTGAGGTACAGTGCGAGAACGAGAAGTTATCCAGTTCACGCTCTGACTTTGAGAAAATCTCTTTTGGAGAATCCAGTGTAATAGCTGAAAAAATCTGACGCAGTTGTTCTTCTGAACAGCCTCTGAATTCTTGACGTACCCTGAATAAACTGCGTTTAAAAGTCCATGTAATAATTGCCTGCACACCAGACATGGATTGAAAACCATCTTGAATACATGATATCTCATTCTTTTTACTTTCAAGAATGAACAATTTCTCCAACCTTGATTTTAATAAAAAAGCTCTTACAATTAAACTCACCAGCACAACTGGTGCCAGGAGCACCTCTCCTTTTATCCTGTTTGGATAGGAGCTGCTGTTGTACTCTTAACTGCTGTTGATGTTCTTCTATCTGAGCATCCCTGTGAATCTGTTCCAATGTCTTGGGTCCCTGATCACCTCTTCGCGGCACCCAGTTATTCTAGAGATTAATACATGTTTATTTCACATTTCAAATAAACAATCAATATGATCTTTTATCCCAAAAAATGTATTGTTCTCATCAATCGAGATATCCCTTGAAAATAATTTAATACCAAAACATATCAAGAAAAGAATGGAAAATACAAGTATGAATATCACTATGGTAAAATTTTTGCAGCTTTTTCATGATCGTTTTTGATACGCTGCACAGCAATTCAGAATTAGGAACTAGAAAAGGCCAATCTGTCAGAACTATTGAAACATTAACATGGTTATCCTCTGGCTTCGATAGGTGTTTGATACAGAACAAGCTGGATACACACACAGTTAGCAATTTTTAGCTGTTTATATTCAGTAATGAGTAATGGAAGTACTGAGCTTCCCTAAATACTTGGTTATTTCTGACCAAGTTCTTTTTTGGAAAAAAAAAACAGCAATGATATTGGAAAAGCAGAAAATGTACTTTTCTGAAAATATCAGAACGTAACTATGCAAATACACAGGACAAAAATATTCAGAATTTGTTTGTGGCATTTTTACGAATCAACATTAACACCGTTACAAGTCAATTACCATCTTAGTCAAGTGAACTCACTTGTCGAAGATCGATCACATCCTGCACCATAAAGCGAATCCGAGATGAAGTTTTCCTTTCTTTAATAATTTTTTCCATCTGATTAAAATATTGATCCATTCTAGGCTATAGGTAAAACACAAGGACAGAAGGTTACTTATTCAAAACAGAAATCAGGTACATTAATAACTAGTTATTACTGTACTGAGTACTTTGGACAAATTTTTTTTTTTTTAAGAACTTACTTTGGCTTTTTCAAAATCCAAGTCTTTGCCTATTGTTGTTAATAACCTACATAGGCATTCAAGTGATTCTTCATCATGGTTCTTCAGCAGCTTCACTATACAATCATGCATAATTGGTTCTGTTAACATTTTCAGTTTGAAAAGTTCACCAATGAATTTGATATTGCCTAGTGATCGACGCCTAGCTTTATCTCTTGCTTCCTTTAGCTCTTCTTGGAGGCGGGTTTTCTCCTCAGACTGGAATAAAAAGAATTCACATATTACAAGTTTAAATCAAAACCATAGCTCTGCAACATTTAAATTCAGTAACACAACAAATTACGAGGTAAATTCTGACAATTGTTCATACATATGAAATTGTACCAGCAAGAGTTAGTAGTTTCAATGGGTGGAAATGAGGAAAGAAACAAGACAGATTTATTGGATTCATAAAATACATTAAAATGTTCACAACATACTTAGCAGCAAACAATTCAAGAGAATTTATTTTGGATTGAAGACCTACTGCTATTGATATCTTGTATTATTACGCTGGACGAAAATATGAAATCAATAAGTTCGGATTCAGCCTGGCTTTATATAAACGTGAATAAAAAATTAGCTTCATGCCCAGCTTTGGACAATAGTGAAGCTTTAAAATGGAAGACTGAGCATCAAACTGGTAAGGGGTGTTTTAATGGTGACAGACTCCATGACACCATTTAAATTAACTGATTCTGGAGAAGCATAGGTAGCATAAATTGTTCAACAAGGTAAAGTAATGCTTTTGTGCACTCTAGTGAAGAATACTACTGAAGCTGTATAAGTTACATAAGAGATAATAAGGTGTAGAGCTGAATGAACACAGCAGGCCAAGCAGCATCAGAGGAGCAGGAAAGCTGACGTTTCGGGCCTCGACCCTTCTTCAGAAAAGGGGGAGGGGAAGGGGGTTCTGAAATAAATAGGGAGAGACGGGGAGGCGGATAGAAGATGGATAGAGGAGAAGAGAGGTGGAGAGGAGACAGACAGGTCAAAGAGGCGGGGATGGAGCCAGTAAAGGTGAGGAGGTAGGGAGGAGATAGGTCAGGTCAGCGAGGACGGACAGGTCAAGGGGGCAGGATGAGGCTAGTAGGTAGGAGATGGGGGTGGGGCTTGAGGTGGGAGGAGGGGATAGGTAGGAGGAAGGACAGGTTAGGGAGGCGGGGACAAGCTGGGCTGGTTTTGCGATGCAGTAGGGGGAGGGGAGATTTTGAAGCTTGTGAAGTCCACGTTGATACCACTGGGCTGCAGGGTTCCCAAGCGGAATAGGAGGTGCTGTTCCTGCAACCTTCGGGTGGCATCGTTGTGGCACTGCAGGAGGCCTAGGATGGACATGTCGTCTGAGGAATGGGAGGGGGAGTTGAAATGGTTCGCGAATGGGAGGTGCAGTTGTTTACTGCAAATCGAGTGCAAGTGTTCCGCAAAGCGGTCTCCAAGCCTCCGCTTGGTTTCCCCGATGTAGAGGAGGCCACAACGGGTACAGCGGATACAGTATACCACATTAGCAGATGTGCAGGTGAACATCTGCTTGATGTGGGAAGTCTTCTTGGGGCCTGGGATGGGGTTGAGGGGGGAGGTGTAAGGGCAGGTGTAGCACTTTCTGCGGTTGCAGGGAAAACTGCCGGGTGTGGTGGGGCTGGAGGGGAGTGTGGAGCGGACAAGGGAGTCACGGAGAGAGTGGTCCCTCCTGAAAGCAGATAAGGGTGTGGAGGGAAAAATGTCTTTGGTGGTGGGGTCGAATGGCAGATGGCGGAAGTGTCAGAGGATGATGCGTTGGTACGCGAGGACGAGGGGGATTCTGTTTTGGTTGTCATTACTGTACTCAGTAAAGAGCTCACCTTTGTCCCCCTCCACCCACACATCAACAAATACTGCTCACGCTTGGACGTTGAACAGTTTTTCCACCGCCTCCGCCTCCACGCTTACTTCTTTAATTGGTGAGCCTAACCCTCCCCCTACTGACACCTTCTCCTACCTCCAACACACCCGCTCCTCCTGGACACCACCCCAAGGCCTCCTACCCTCCCTCGACCTCCATCTCCATCTCCAACTGCCGTCGTAACATCAATCACCTCAACCTCTCCACCCCTCTCACCCACTCCAACCTCTCCCCCGCAGAACGTGCAGCCCTCCGCTCCCACCCTAACCTCACTATAAAACCCGCGGACAAGGGAGGCGCAGTTGTAGTATGACGCACTGACCTCTACAATCGCCGAGGCCAGGCGCCAACTCTCCGACACCACCTCCTACCGCCCCCTTGATCATGACCCCACCCCCGACCATCAAACCATCATCAACCTCACCACCGCAGGTGACCTCCCACCCACAGCCTCCAACCTCATCGTTCCCCAACCCCGCACCGCCCGCTTCTATCTCCTTCCCAAAATCCACAAACCTGAATGCCCTGGTCGACCCATGGTCTCCGCTTGCTCCTGCCCCACCGAACTTATCTCCACCTATCTCGACTCCATTTTCTCCCCTTGGTCCAGGAACTCCCTACCTACGTCCGTGACACCACCCACGCCCTCCACCTCCTCCAAAACTTCCAATTCCCTGGTCCCCAAACGTCATCTTTACCATGGACGTCCAGTCCCTATACACCTGCCCGAAAGACCCTCCGCTTCTTCCTGTCCCGCAGGCCCGACCAGTCCCCCTCCACTGACACCCTCATCCGCTTAGCCGAACTCGTCCTCCCACTCAACAACTTCTCTTTCAATTCCTCCCACTTCCTACAGACAAAGGGGGTGGCCACGGGTACCCGCATGGGCCCAAGCTATGCCTGCATCTTTGTAGGTTACGTGGAATAATCCCTCTTCCGTAGCAACATTGAACCTAAACCCCACCTCTTCCTCTGTTACATCGACGACTGTATCGGCGCCGCCTCATGCTCCCACGAGGAGCTCGAACAGTTCATCCACTTCACCAACATCTTCCACCCCAACCTTAAGTTCTTTTGGACCATCTCTGATACCTCTCTCTCCTTCCTGGACCCCTCTGTTTCCATCTCTGGCATCCGATATCCGTTTCAAGCGCCCCAACTCCAACAGCTACCTAGAATACACCTCTTCCCACCCACCTTCCTGCAAAAATGCCATCCCTTATTCCCAATTCCTTCGCCTCTGCTCCCAGGATGCGGCATTCCACTCCCGAACATCTCAGATGTCCTCGTTTTTCAAGGACCGCAACATCCCCCCCCTTAGTGGTCGAGAACGCCCTCGACCGTGTCTCCTGCATTTCCCGCAACTCATTCCTCACACCCCCTCCCCACAATAACAACCAAAACAGAATCCCCCTCATCCTCACGTACCACTCCACCAACCTCCGCATCCAACGCATCATCCTCCGACACTTCCACCATCTGCAATCCGACCCCACCACCAAAGACATTTTTCCCTCCCCACCCTTATCTGCTTTCAGGAGGGACCACTCTCTCCGGGACTCCCTTGTCTGCTCCACACTCCCCTCCAGCCCCACCACACCCGGCACTTTTCCCTGCAACTGCACAAAGTGCTACACCTGCCCCTACACCTCCCCCCTCAACCCCATCCCAGGCCCCAAGAAGACTTCCCACATCAAGCAGATGTTCACCTGCACATCTGCTAATGTGGTATACTGTATCCGCTGTTCCCGTTGTGGCCTCCTCCACATCGGGGAAACCAAGCAGAGGCTTGGGGACCGCTTTGCGGAACACCTACGTTCGGTTCGCACTAACAACTGCACCTCCCAGTCGCGAACCATTTCAACTCCCCCTCCCATTTCTCAGACGACATGTCCATCCTGGGCCTCCTGCAGTGCCACAACGATGCCACCCGAAGGTTGCAGGAACAGCACCTCATATTCCGCTTGGGAACCCTGCAGCCCAATGGTATCAACATGGACTTCACAAGCTTCAAAATCTCCCCTCCCCCTACCGCATCCCAAAACCAGCCCAGCTTGTCCCCACCTCCCTAACCTGTCCTTCCTCCCACATCAAGCCCCAACCCCATCTCCTACCTACCAGCCTCATCCCGCCCCCTTGACCTGTCCGTCCTCCCTGGACTGACCCATCCTCTCCATAATGCCCCACCTACAGTCACCTTTACTGGCTCCATCCCCACCTCTGATCTATCTGTCTCCTCTATCCATCTTCTATCCACCTCCCCGTCTCTCCCTATTTATTTCAGAACCCCCTTCCCCTCCCCATTTCTGAAGAAGGGTCTAGGTCCGAAACGTCAGCTTTCCTGCGCCTCTGATGCTGCTTGGCCTGCTGTGTTCATCCAGCTCTACACCTTGTTACCTCAGATTCTCCAGCATCTGCAATTCCTACCATCTCTAAGTTACATAAGACATAGTAATAGGTGCTTTTGCTTGATAATAGGATGTATCAGCATATACGGAACAGAGTCCATTCAAATTCTGAGGGACTGAAAAAAAACCCACTTGTACCACGTCTACCATATATGTTTTTTTTTTCACTTCCCAAATAGGACTAAGAATGCCACAAAACACTAATGATCTCCCAGATGTGTAAAAACATTGGCATTAATGATTGGTTTCAAATTCCTCATGATCATTCAAAATAGCCACACAATCTGTCCATTAAGCTGCACTATGCTTCAAATCCAATTGCCTTAATGATGCGGCAGAGGAAGAAAAGGGAAGCAAACGGTGCCCTTTTCATCGCATCATCTTGTGGGTCAAGGCACCCCGTGTTTCCAAAGATTTGTAGAACAAGATAACTAGTTCTTATTTCATGCAAATTCAAAAAAGAAAAAGAAAAAGAAAGAAAATATATGTCTGAAGAAGGTACGGTCTGGTAAGGGAGAATAGGAAGTAGTAGGCTCAGGTTGGATTTGTCCTACGTTTTGTGGACAGGACACACCTGGGCAAATTAGCCGGTAGATGCAGTACTCTAGCCACATTAGAACAACTAGGCAGGGGCATGCCCAATTTTGGAGCACAAGTCTTCACCACTTTTTTGAAAAAAAAAGAACAAAAGTACTGTTTATGGGAGGTGGGCATTACTGTCTGGACCAGCTCAACAGTTTCTCTTATGGCTTGCCGCTACAACCACTGTTCAACGATCACTTCCATCAGCACTGTCGTTACATCTGCACCGTCATTACATCTGCACCAGGCAGACTGGGGAGGATATGATCAAGTATTTTACACCTCATTAGTTCCTTCAAAACCTGCCACGTCCAGTCTAGTAGCTAGATCCTTTAGGATTCAAGCAGCTCAGTTGTAGTTACTAAGCCACTTGTTGATGGACATTGAAGTCCTTCAGTCAGAGTACGTTCTATGGCCTTGCCACCCTTCGCACTTCTTTTGCAATTCAACGAGGAGAATGGACTCGAGGGCTCCCCAGAAAACTCCTTTCCAAACGAAGACCACTGCACCACCACCTCTGGTAGGTCCATTCTACCAGTTTCATGCAATTTGAATTTTCTGTAGCAATGTGATACAACTGAGTGACTTGCTAAACTATTTCAGAGGGCATTTACCAGATTGCTGTGCATGTGAAGTTACACGCAGCCCAGACCAGATTAGAACAGTAGATCTCCTTCACTAAAAGACATTAGAGAACGAAATGGATTTTTATGACAATCAATGGTCTCATGGCCACCATTGCTTGCCATAGCATTTAAATTATTTTAGTTTCCTCAACATTATTATACAGATAATTTAAAATGTAGCAAAAATGGAAAAAAGCAAGACAAAGCACATCTCACCAGAATTTATACATGAAGGCATCTCAATCTCACTCAATTCTACCAAAAATGCGCAATTTACTTTAGATTATTTTAGAAGATACACTAAATTAATTACCGTAACAGCAGCATCAATTTCTCTCTGTTTTTTGTCTATTACTGCATCATCATCTTTGTCTTTTTCAAACTCCTTTTGACATCTGTTTAACAGCAACTTCCGAAAATTTACTGTTGCTCCAGGTTTATCTGGTATTGGAACTTTGAGCTGTTAAAAATACAGAAGCAATAATGTAATCTTAAAGTAGACAGTGCATACGATCACACATGCATGGTTTTTAATTCCAAATACAACTTCGATTGCTTCTCACATTGTAAAGTTACACATCCTATACAACAGACACAGATTGAAAGGTAAATGGTGTATAAAAGTATAAACCTCTGGTTTATTTGGACAATTGGAGGTACAGATAGATATATCTATTAAACTAGAATTGAATACCAAAGCTACCTTCTTCAATTCAACATGCTTACCAGGCAGCTTTGTAACTTTCTAGCCATTTTTTTTTTTAATTATAACTATTAATAATTTATCAAACATGTTGGAATACCTCAGATGGGAGGTACACTTTACATCTAGAAAACCCAGATGAGCAGCATTGTATTTTTCATTTATTGTCTATATCTCAGCTAGATGTTGATTGTTTTTAAAACTCACAATTACTGTTAGCATACTTCCAAAGCAGAAACAGGAGCTCAAGGCACTTACTGTTGTAAGACAGCGGCACATGTTGGCATAGGCAACAGAGAAGTTTGGTTCAGAAATAGCTTTTTCAAAGACCAGATCAATTACTCCCTTTAACCGCTCTTCATTGTCAATCGTCAAATCTGCCACTTGTTTCATCAACTGCTGGAACATCTGAGGGGTCAATTTGTTCAAAATACTGCGAACCTTTCGGAACAGCTCCTAAGCAAGAAACAGAGTACAGTGAATATAAATTTTTTTAAAACCTGTGTATAAATATACACGCAATCACAGAAACAGGACTCCGTGTTTCAACCAATCATTTGCAAAAACATTTATAGCACTAATGCAGAAATTATAACAATGAAAATTGTGCATGATCGCATCAATTTTTCACACTGCGTGATCACGAAAGGTTGGCACTGATTGGAGGGTGAAGACAGAGTATACCACCATAACCATCTTTGCGGTTGTACATTTATGGCTTCCTCCAGCAAGTTGTGGTTAAAACAGACTTTAGAATAGTAGGATACCAGCTCATAATTCTCATCCTGCAATTTCCTAATGAGCAAGAGTCATATATTTCTCTTGAGGAACAGGAGTGAGGTAGAGGAGAAAAAGGCAATTGCTGGGAATCTTTGTACACACAAAGCACGATTCGCAATTTCCTTCAAGCAAATAGTGCAAGAATTTCAATTTTTTTTCCCAACTGACAAGGCACAGTCAAAAGTGAGTCTCAATGATGGACAACAGTAAAATGATTATTTAACCTCATAGTTGCAATACAGAGTTAAAAGAAGCATTCAAAATTAGAGTGAAACAAAGAAGCCAAATAAAGTTCATTTTTCTTTGAACAACAACAGTTTAAAAGCCAAAAGAATTGCTGATGAGAATCAAAAATATACTAACTCAAACCACATTTATTTTCAACACAGTCAATATAGTGTGGAGCTGAAGGACCACAGCAGACAGTTGACATTTTGGGCCTAGACC